TAAAACAATGTTTAAAAATTACTTTTTCTTTGAGATGATGTAATTCATGTTCTTTCTGAAAATATTCCGTAATGGGGAAATCCTTTCTGTCAGGAGCATGCATTTTAATATACTGATGAAAACCAACATGAATTTAATGAAATTGCAAGCCTTTGGAAATGATCTTTCTTACTTTTAATATGCTCATCAGAGATGTCTTAGAACATTACTAGCTTCCATGAAGAGCTTCTCTGCTAGAAAGCTTTCCAGCTTGGGCTAAAGAAGACTTCTGCAATTGCAAATGTATGCAGTTGTTCTCTAGGCTGACCATGGGCCAAGCACCTGATGTTAGAGCACAGAACTTCTTCCATGGGTGGGTTGTCCATGGCTCCCATAAGTCTAAGCAATCAGGAGGCGGAAGCTGATGAGTCTGAATGCAGAACTTGGACAAGTTCCCGTGGAACTTGGTACCAGAGGCTAAAGAAGATAAAGAAGGGATCCAGACCTAGACATTACAGTAAAGAATGGAATAGATCAGCTGGCTGAGAAGAAAGGGGGTGACTGGCCAGAAAAGCATCATGTCACGTAGGACTAAAATGGGAGGAACTGGAATTCCTTTGGTATCAGAGAATGGAAGCAAAAACTGTTATGAGGTGATAGCGAGATCTGATTGAGATCTGATGATACTACAAAGGAAGAGAACAGGGACAAATTGCATGTAGAACTGGGGAGAAATTTGACACAGCCAGAACTATAGACAAAGTGCAGACCAGGACTGGAGAGGGACAAATTTGGATATTGAGCCAGAAAGGAAGGAAATGGGAACAGGTAGGCAAAAAACCCCCCAAACTGTTGTGACTGTTGTATTGCATGTGTGAATACAGACATGACAGGAGTCTGAGAGGTGTTGAACAGCCTTGCTGGACAAAGAGGTTGGTTCTAGGAACAGTGTTCAAGGAATGGAGATGAAGGCCAGGAGTCAAGACTGGTGTGAATGAGATTGGAGACCTAGGTGTAGGCTGGAAGGAGCTGGACAAAGAAATTGTATTTCAAGGAATGGGAGGAGTCGTGTGTGACCACTGTGAAGGACTTCACATTTCTGATAATCAGGGAATGTCCTGGTAAAATGTTTTGTTCCTGTTTACTACTGCTGTACTCAGGAATTTATGATTTGAAGATGTGCATCGTATTCCTGTCTGTACCAGAGCGTAACAGTTCATGGTGGACAAAATCACTTAATCAAGCTTTCCCATTGCTTTGCTGTACGTTTTCTGCCACCAAGTATTCTAATGCATGCCATAGCCTTAATGATCCGATGAGGGTTCAAAGTCATATTAATGTTGTAAAGGGAAAACATATCCATGAATTTCCAAGTTGTTTAAGATGTAGCTCTATGGTAATTGCAGAAACTCTGTATTAAGATCTATTTCAGCCTATTTCAGTTGAAAGGGAAACTATTCTCTGTAGTGCACAGCCTGTTTTGCCTGCCTGCATTTGTGTTATTCATGATGGTTGTAGTGTCTAATCAAAAATTATTTGGCTTTTTTGCCTGATACTTACTTGGTAGAAAATACTGTTAATCTAGGTGTCGAGTACATATTTTGTTAGCATTGCTTTCACAAAATGTGCATATTCTGTACTGTCAAGTAATGGAAACTGTAGTAATCAGCAGGTTTCTAATGAGAAAAATAAGTTCTTCTAATTAGCTCATAAACCTACTGTTATGACTAGAAGTACAAAAAATTACTGGAAGGTAGTGTTATCTTAGAATGCTGAAGAAATCAAAGAGGCTTTTTATTCCGTACATCACATTGCCCATATATCCCAAGAGTAAGGTTCTCCACAGGTAGCAAGCAATGCAAATTATGCTTGGTGTAGCAAAAGAAAACATCGTACTTCTTCCTGTCCTTGACTGTTTGAAGTAAATAGCTTGAATCTTGCCTCATTTACACAGAGGTAATTTGAAGGATATCTTAAAATCAACATAATGAAAATGAAATTGAAATCCTTCATGAGGATTTCTGCAGTTAGAAGTGTCAACAATATGGTTAAATTGTTAGTCAGTTGTATAGTACACAGCATTTCTAATGGAGCAGCAATATCAGAAATAACACCTAGATATCTTCCTGCTCCTCTGCTTTAATTAAGTCACCCTCTTGCCTCATATTCTGAGGAAAAAGGTTGTAGATACATGTTCGTGCTATTATGATAAAATAATAAAGGCTGTACATAGAATGAGTATTGTTGATAATGAGTACTCGATACTTGTATTCCAACAGTCCAGGACTACTTAGGTAATGTCAGAACTATATTAGCAGCCTTAAAAATATATAAGCAAACCCTTTCAGAAGTGACTAGTGATTTTAAATAGAATCAAACTAGCAGCCCCCTTGCAACTACCTCAGAACTGCCAAGTCACTGTGCTTGAAAGTCAGCCCCCTTTTGAATTTGCTTACCAGACATGAAAACTGGACATTCCCAGTGATTTCTAGAATGGTTTGGGTAGTGTCATGGAAAACAGTATTTCTACTTGTGAGGGAGGATTGTCATGGACATGTAACCCCTAGTTGCAGATATTCATATATTTGCTTCTGATTACCAAAAGTGTTTTAAAGTTGCATTCTGTAGCTTATCCCGCATTTAAAATATAATGAACTATAAAACCTTATGTGGGTCTTTTTGTATTATTTACTCTAGTTTTATTGTAAAATCCTTGAGCAAACTCTCTCGGACATCTCTAACTCTGAGAAAGCTCAAGGAACAAGTTTTGACTCCCTGAAAGTGTGCACTATGTTAAAGGTGCTGATGAGAGGAAGAGGACTATGTTAAAATGGGAGACTGAATTTATAAAAGCATTCCTCTTAGTGAGAAAAAGAAACCTGCTGTCAGTAATATTGATCAAGCTGATATTCACTAGGCAACAAGTCCCAGGCAAAATTTATATGGAAAATGCTGCATGTCAGAAATGTGATGTTATTATGGAAATTATTTATTATCAGCTAAAGGGAATTTTAATGGAGCCAAGCAACTGGCAATTTAATTTAAGGTATATTTCAGGTTTTGGCGTGAAGTCTTGAGAGTATATAGCTGCTAAGTGTGATCTATATGTATTTGCCTAGCATCACACTTCAAGCTTCTGAAGGGATACTATCTGTCACATTCTTCATTGATAGAATGAACTTAGTCAGGATTCAGCTGATTCAAGCACCATTTACAAGAATTAGCTGCTGGAATAATTTTATAGTTAATTTCTTTTACTAGTCTGGGGACGTTTGAGTGTTTTGATTCTGCTTTAGTTCTCTTCATCCTCTTCTGTACAGCAGTACGTCTTTCAGAATGGAGGCCAAAAGCTTGCCCAAAGCCCTCATTGCCCAATGCTCATTCTCTAGCCATTCTGCTTCTGAAAATAATCTGTCTGGTATATTGCAAAATTGATTTTACCAAACAATTTCCTCTTACATTAAAATCTATGCCTTAATGTAATAGGAGAGTATCTTTCTAATCTGGACTAAAATAGTGAAAATGGCAAGAAGTATTCTGTACTGGCTTTTTGCCTACTGGCAAATGACTATGACTCTTGCACAGAATCAACTCACTGAAGCCTCTGGATGCTGCTATAGTATTAGATATGAAACAGTAAAATATTTGTGGCCTTTGGACACTACTGTAAGGATACAGATTGGTATACAGACGTTTATTTCCACAGCCATGTCCTGAAGTCACTTGCGCCAGAGAGAATATTTCATTTTATTGGTATTTTTTACCTATACATTACCTATTCATTAAGAATTCAAGATTCCTTGTAGTTCTCTTACTGCCATTGGTAAGATGGCCACACTACTGCTAATAGTTACAAACTTTGTTTTTGTGCGTGTTGGACTTTGTCCAATAATCTTGATCATGCCTCTGGTATTTTACATTTGTACTGCTGTTCTGGATTCTACTACCAGAAGGTCTTTTCATTGACCTTCCTTTTTACTCTATGCTATTAACAGCATAGAGAAATGTTTGAAACTATGTTTAGACCTTGTAAATAACATGATTATTACCTTTTATAGACATGTGCACAGTGTTTTTATACTTGCTGGAACTTTCAAGTGCTCATTTTTGGCACTTCTACAGGGTATTGTACATTTTTTTTTCCCCACTATTATTTAGAAGTGGTTATAATCATAAGATCTTGGTTATCGATGGGCTGATTATCCAAGTTGTTACATATTTCTTGTTATTTCCAGCCATTCTGAGGCTGCAGCAAAACCTGCAGCCGCACTAAAAAGCATCTGCATTTGATGTGTTGTGAATTACAGTATGTTTTCATGAAGTGCCTCTTTGCCTGCTAATGCTCTCTCTCTTCACACAAAGAAATGTGTTTTCAAGTTTTTGAAATGTCAATATTTCTGTAAATTGTACCATATTCCTACATTTTGGAATAACTTTTCATTTTATACAAGCTGGTATTCTTCTCCATTATGTCTCAGATTCTTAATAGGTGAGCACTGACTATATTCTAGCGAACTGATTTACAATCTTAAATAGTTTATCTTGTATAATATTGTTTCATGTGAAAAGTGCCTTATAATAATTAAATATATGAATTATGAGTAGTATGACCTGTATTCCAACAACGTGAAATCCTAAGTCCCCAATTAAAAAAAGTTTCTGTGAGTGATAGTAAGGTCTGTGTATGTATTATTATTATTAATACAATTGCTAAGGATAATCCCATTCTACTGGTTGCGTGGAGAAATGCATGTAGTTGTGTGCGATTGTTTGCCTTGTTTAGCATTTATGTACTTACAGTTCAAAGCAAAATAATTCTACAGCTATACTTTCAAGGTCAGGTGCTAAGAAAATGCTAGAGCTGATGCCTCTGCCTCTCCTTCTCTGGGTTCTCACTTCTTAAGGGATGTTAAGTCATCTAACTTTCAGAAGGAATGCTTTAGCTGAAAAATATCAAGTTCAGTAAGTAGTAGGGACGGTATTAGCAAAAGAGTCTCATTTTGCATTCTTCTGCATTACAGGAGTACAAACGCAAGCTAGCCAGAGTGTCCCAGGTACGCAAAGAACTCAGGTCTCGCATCCAGAACCTGCCTGATCTCTCTCGACTTCCCAACGTCACAGGCAGCCACGTACACCTACCGTTTGCAGGAGATATCTACAGCGATGATTGATTACAAGAACATCCTTCCATAACCTCTACTTTTCTGTGAAATGAGGGGTAGGTCTGACTGATTGGTACTCTTGTAGTATTATTTTTGTATATTGTTGGAGAGTGTCAGTAAAAATACTCTAATAATTTATAAAAAATGGTTTAAAAAGTGGATTTGTTTACTATTTTATTGGCAAGTGAACATAAGGGTACATTTATAAAAGTGGCATCTGTGTCTATTACATTGAAGAATGGGTAATTATCTTATCTTTTGTAAAGATTTTAGTTGGGTGCCCTGTAAAAGAACATGTTAAGATTTTTCTTATGTACTCCGTATTTAATGTAGGTCAACATATAATCAACACATACTTCTAACTCGAGACATTTCAGTTGCTAGTGAGGGAGTGAAATGTGGAAATCACAAGCTTATGTTTGCAAGAAGGTTGATGGAATTTAATTGAAAGTTAAAACCGATCTTATCATCCATTACATATAAATTACCCACTCTCAAAACAAGTCAGGTGGGTTTTTTGAAGTAAATGTTTGTAACCAATTTTGTATTGGAAAATATACATCATGTTACACTGAACAGATCTTTAAATTACTCAAAGTACTGCAATATTTTAGTATCATTTAAAAGTCTGCATAAGAAACTGTACAATTGACCAGTTCAATTATGCTTCAAAATTGTAACTATCTTTTTACAGCTGCATAGTTTCTAAATTGAGGGACCATCCATTTGTACTCTAATCCCTTTCTGCAACATCCATCTCCATCTAAAAAGGTTAATCCCAGAAACATGAAGTCATTTTACAGCTTTAATTAAATTGAAAGGTCATTTTCCAAGCTGTCCCAATTGTTAAATGCCCATTATTAACATTTGACAGTGCTGTGTACTACATGCAGCAACACAATGATGCAGCCATGCCGTACATCTTCTTCTACTGAGAAACCCTGGAGGCCTGCATGGGCTTCCAGCCCTGCACCTTGACCAGCTCCAGCAAACATTTCTAGATCTTGATTGTCTTTCGCACAGAACGGGAGAGACAGTTCAGGCCTGTGTATAAGCCAAACAGTGGAAAATTATTGCCCAGTGTCTGTTTTTAAAAAAGTCTTTTGCGTGGCTGGTATTTGTATAAATACCAAATGTGGTGTTTATCTACAGGTAGCTGAATTTGTGAAAAGTCCTTGTTATACTATGCACCAGCTTTTCATTCACTTAAAGACAGGAATCTAGCAGACTGCCAGCAACTTAAGGTTTTTCAGTCAATCCGAATTAGGCATGTAATTGTTGAGGAGTGTTTTTTAAAAAAGCCTACCTGTGCCGCTGGCATTTAGATTCTATCATCCGAGTATTTGATGATTGCATTTTGTTCATGGGTGTGCACTTGGCAGGCATTATTTTGCATCAGTTAAATTCACAGTTTACAAGTTTTAATACTCCTTCTCACATGAAAGCAGATTTATTTAATTTTTTTTTTTTAGAAAAATCTATTCTTCCTCTTTAAAACTCATAACGATTCAAAATAATCCTGGAGCGATATTGTTGAAGATAGTGATCTGTCACTTGGTATTGACTGCTGCAGAGCTATTTGCTAGAATGCTTGTTGGATGTGAATGGAGAATAATCTTTTCTCTTTGAAATAGATACACTTGGACATAAGCACCTCAGTCCAGTTATCTTTTCTCATGGAAGTTGCCATGAAATAGACCTCGGTTAAGTAGGGCAAAACCTCCAAAAGATAAAACCATGAGCTGCTGACTTAGCATTCCATAGCATGCAGTCTGGAATACTGATTTCATCAAAAATTCTTACTGACAGGTAGGAGTGCTGAAAATAGTTCATCAGAGCTCACTAGCTGTCCAAAGATTGTTAAGTTTTGAGTGGCAATTTTCCACTCCATAGGAAAAAAAGAGCTAACGCTGCAGAGAATTGTTTCTTCAGTCTAACGTGCAAAATTAAACAACACATGCTGGCGTCTTTTCAGCGTAGATTCTTGATAAGAAAATGAATGTTCAGGTACATTTTTGATTTTAAATATTTCTGTTCTATTACATTAAACTCAGATCATAAATTTCAAAATACATGTATGTGCATTACAGTTACAGTTAAACCTCAGTCTTGCTAAAGAATAGCGCCAAATTTGTGATAAATATTAAAACAGCTTAATCTCTTAAGAATTATAAAACAAGCAATAAGTCAAGAAGGATAAATAATAAGTTCACAGTTGAATCCCATCCATAGAAAACTTAATTTGTAGCCAGTGGTGGTTATAAATGTAGTGGCATGGCTTGTTTAGAGTGTATTGAAGTCTTGGATACTGAAAACCGTAGGGATCTGAGCTTAAACAGTCCTTTGGTACCTTAATTAAAAATAATTATAATAAGTTGAATGCTGAATTTCCTTGATCTCTCAAGAGTATTAAAAAAAGATACGACACTTACTTCACTAGACTTGTTTTTCCTGTTCATAACTCTTAGTGATAACGTTGCTCATCTATGGGTAATGTAGAACTGTTAAAGGAATGAGGAAAAATCTCAACTTCTTCTTGATGTATATACAAATTTTAATTTTGAGATAGTGCTATTTTCTGGATATATTTTTCTTTATTTTACTGTGAAATTGTTTACTTCAAGGAGTATTTCATAGCTGGGGTTTTGGAAATGATCCCTCACCATTTGTTTGGAAAAGAGGACTTGCGGAAGGTAAAGGTCACTCTTATAGCAAGTGCCATGTATTAGCGGCTGAATGGTACGTTGTTTATTTATTTATATGGGAAAGGCATCAGGTATCAACTAGTTAGAAGATTTATATTTTAACTGTAATAGTATAGCAAGAGATAGCATGGTACGATACAAATGCAGCCCTGTAATGCCAGAAAAAAATACCTCCAAATTCTCAGGTTCCAAAGCTTAATGTTCGTAATTCTGATGTCTCAGGAAGACAAGAGGCTGGGTGGGGAAAGGAGGGGTGCCTAGGAGCTGGAAAGGGGAATGTGCCTGGTGGAAATGAAAAGCAAAACAAACGTCAACTTTTGTCAAAACAGAAATAACAGTGTGAAACTGGGCAGCACAATAGAACTGTCCTGAGGTGTTACCACCCTGAGAAAGAGAATGTGAGGATGTACCCTGCCTGTCACTTCTAAGTTGATCTGACAAAACAGAATGCCCACCTTACAAAAGGCACAATTATAAAATATCTGAACAATTTTCATCTAACAGTAAAAGCATAATAATGAGATTATTTGCTCCACTATATTGCACTTTTATTGAGTATTCTCTGAAAAAAAAGCAGAGATTCCTGCAGCTCTTTGCTGTACGAGACTGCTTACCTTGGAGGTCCCTGGGACTGCTTGTATATTCTAGTGTTTGCAGACTCAAACTGTGTTTTTGCATTATGTTTTGAAAGATATCAGGAACATTACCCTACTCCTGTGGTTTTAAAAATAAATGTGAAGTCCTTAGTTACAGAAATTACCGTTCTTAGAAATGGTGTTTCATTTGAAAATTAAACTCCAGCCTGCAGTAACATTAGCTTGTCTGTTTCACTATGTTAATGTTTGTATTAATATTTAAAAACACCTCTATTAAACCCTAGCAGCACAGGCCAAACGACATGCCTATTGTGTATTTTCTCTGAGTAGTCTTCTGAATGTCAAATAGAGAGCTTTCATTGTGATAAAATTACATTCCCGTTTACCTGGAGTTTAAAAAGACAGTGTGTTAAGACTTCCACAGACTAATACTGCTCTCACGAGCCAGTGGTAACTCAGTCTGGTACTTCAGTGGTGACCCAAAATACAGACATAGGATGCGGCATCCTCCTGTCCAGTTGACCATGGAAGACATGGAAATCATCCATAGGCTCAACTGGCCCTCTGCAGAAGAGCTGGATTTCAACCTTTTGAAACGTAAGTGAATAGACTCATGGGTGTGGGGTTTTTTCAGTGGAAAAAATAGTGAACTAGAAGACCAGCATGTCTAAAATTTGACTTACATTTCTAAATATTTAGGCCAGTTCTGCTCATTACTCATGCATATAATCACAGTAGCTATTTCTGCAAGTAGAGGAAGCAGACTCAAATGTAGTGTCTGAAGTGGATTTTTTTTTAATGAATGACCAATTTTGTCTCGGCTCCTACTTCACTGTGTCATTTATCTTGATTAAGTAGTAAATCTCTTCCATCTTGTTATTTAGAAATCTAATTCTGATTTCATCTTTACAATATTTAAAGTATCCTACTAAGCATGACGTTTTTGTGGGAATTTGCAAAAGTTCAATAGCACTCGTTACTTGTTTGCAACAGAAATAGATTCATTTGTTAAAAGCTAACAAGAAAAGTTTGAAATGTAAAGATGTTTCATTATTGTGCTTTTCTGACAGAATGTGTAATCCTTGTGTAATTTATGTCCTCAGAATAATACCTGTATGTACA